TGGCTTTAAGAAACTGAATAAGATTGTCTGACGTCTTGTTATCTTTGTAGCAATTGGCAAGCTCCTGAACTCGATCCCCTCTCCTAGCTCCCTACCCTCTCCCCTACCCCATTCTCCTCCAACCCCTCCCTATCCTCCCCATACCTCATCTTACCTCCCCTAGCTCCCTACCCTCTCCCCTACCCCCTTCCCCTCCTCCAACGCCTCCCCATCCTCCCCATACCCCCTCTTACTTCCCCTAGCTCCCTACCCTCTCCCCTCCCCATCCTCCCCTATACCCCATCTGCTCTTCGAGAAGGAGGGAGACAGTGAGAAAGGAGGAGCGGGGGAGAGAGGGACAGATTCGCTTACCTCAAGAAAACGTGCGCGATTATAAAAGATTTCGAACGAGTGGTCAACCATCTCTCTATCTATTTCCGTTCTCGAGATATTTTGTTTCTAAATTTGTCGTACCTCTGTATGTATGTATGTATATACGTCCCAATAACGGTCGGGTGGGACCCCCCTTGTATCTCGGCTTCTCTTGGGCCGATTCCAATGAAACTGGATACTCTTGAACATTGGCCCGCCTAGGTTCAGAACCCAAAGTTTGATGTTCCTACCTCGTCCTTTTTTTCTAGAATCCTCAAAACGCGCTACTTGGCATAAACGTGTATCTGCACTGGCCGCGGCTTCACATGGAAGTTCTTGAATCTGACTTTTCGTAGGTTTTTGCTCTATGACTATTGTTTGGGAGTCGGTATGAGTAAATTTGAGTTGATTGGGTGAATTTCAATGGGAAGGGGAGGAGGTTTGGGTTATAGGTCGCCGGGGTTATATATCGCAACTGTAAACAGACAATACGTGTAAATAGTTACCAAGGTAATGTCCTTTGTAACACAAAATTTTAAGTGCTGGTGGATTTATGTACTTTGTGCTCCATGTGCTCACTGTACAAAAAAAAAAAAAAAAAGTCCTGTCTCGTTTCCATCTTGAAGAGGATTGTTAACATGTATCAACTCTCTTGAGACTCAAATGAGAGACGCAAGCGGTGGTTGGATATGTGAAAGAGAAAAAGAGATAGAGCGAGAGAGAGGGGGTGAGATAGAGGTAGGGAAGGGGGAGGGAGATAGAGAGAGAGGTAGGATAAGTGAGAAAGAGACGGAGAAAGAAAAGGTGAGAAGGGGGAGGAAAGAGAGAGATTCCTGTCTTGTGTATTGTGTATTGTGTGAAATGAGGTGTTCAATAGTTTCTCGCAATGCATTCATCAGCCAATCAGCGTTTATCACGAGCAATGACGTCATCAGCCAAACTCCAAACGCTTTGGACTTTCGTGTTCTACCAAACACTGTTATAGTTGTTTGCAGTGTGGAATAAAACTAAAACAACCAAATCAATTCACAAATTTAATATTTCCTGATATGGAAAATCCAGAAACAGAAATAAGGGCAAAGAAAGGAAACTTGGCCAAACTAAAGAAAACATGGAAGACAGGAATGAAAACATCCAATTCCAGCTCCTCGTCTACACCGTGCCTTCGAGAGTGTACTCCTGGCCCGGGCTTTGGCTTCTGACAACCTTTCCAATGGGTGGATTAACCAGCCGTCGGACAGACACCTCCGGTCGAGGTCGAAATCCAGTCAAGGTATTCTGATGAGAAGGAAACAGAACCGTTTATTAGAATTTCCCATAAATATTAATCATTATTGAAAATATTAGTCATTATTGGAAGGAAAGGATCTCTTCATTTCAAGTGAAATTATGATTTTATGCCTTATTGAGAACTATTAGCCAGTTCCAAAAGAATTGAACACTAACGTGTAACTCTGGCGTAGACTCCGGGCCTATCAGGTCGAGCACAGCCATAACCCCACGACACAACTCCCACCAGCTTCCACTTGCCGTTTTCTTCCACCACCATTGGTCCACCAGAGTCTCCCTGTAACATTCACATATACTGGGTAAAATATACAGGAATGAATGCCACGTATCCAAAAAGACAAGTTGAAATTGTAACTTTAAAGGTAAGAATGACGAAGGAACACACCTGGCAGGAGTCCTTGCCTCCCTCAGGAATGCCTGCGCAGATCATGTTGTCAGTGATGCGTCCTCCGTACTTGGTATTGCATTCGGTGTTTGTCATGGTGGGCACTGTTACTTCGAACAAGGTGCCCGATGTGGATCCTCCTGTTAAATGCATTGTATGAGTCAACGTTGGAAGATTTTTGTTATCATTCTCTGATATAAAACAAAACTTTAAAAGGCTTATCACGAATACCAGTACCCACCCTCCTGTTGAGCTCCCCATCCTGTGATTGTGGCATCCACACTATCATACATTTCACCAGCAGTTGGAAGGCAGACAGGGGCGATTTTGTTGTCAGATGGGAACTGGATCTCTGTCTTGAGTCTGATGAGGGCAATGTCGTTGTCCAGTGTATTGGAATCATAGGACGGATGATTCATAATCTGTTGGAAAGGATATGTATTGCAAATGTTTAGTTGTTTTTTTTTTAATATGTTTAGAAAAATCATGACAAATCGATTCAGTTTTTCCAATGTTCTGCGATGAAGTGAGGACATTAAACTTACTTCAGCAATCTGCATCCACTGAGAATTGGCTTCGCTTGCGGAGTACAGGTTGTGGTCTCCCACCAGCACATAATCCGAGGTGGTCATGCTGCAATAATAATAGGGAATAGAGAAGTGATTTGAGAGAATAAGATTTTTTTTTTTTTTTTTTTTTAGTTCAATAGGATCTTCTACTTACCCTACTGCACAGTGAGCTGCAGTGACGACCCATTGGCTGGAGATGATAGAACCGCCACAGAAGTGATAGTATCCACTGCCGTCGACAAGAGAAACCATCCAGGGATATTCGTTCACCTCCGTCTCTACTCCACCAACAATGCGGTTGGCACGGTTGACTTGCCCACATCCAGCTGTGGGAATAAGAAGAAACTCGCAAAACCATTTCATGGAAGGTAAGACAGCTTGAAAATGAATGGAGTACTGGATACTTCATAGGTTGTCCATCCATCATCATTTCATTATTGAGTAACAGGTTTTCTGTTAGCTCATCAACGCCGAAGCCTATGTAAATGTTTTGTTTGATCTTTTTTAGTATGGTATTTTGTAGATTATTGCAGATTTTGATATTTTTACTTACGGCAGTCAGAATTGGGTTCAGAAGTAGGGGCAGGCGTCGGAGCAGGTGCGTTCCCATCGACACAGACTCCGGTTGTTGTGTCAGAAATCCATTGCAAATATTCTGATGAAAAACAAGTTTTCATTATCTGATTGTGGGCACAAGGAATAAGGAAAAATATATAAAAATATTACTAGTAAGAGAAAAAAATTTTGACTGAGATTGCTTTCTTCCTGTGGTGCCAGAGGGCCTAAGAAAAACATTTATGGATCGCAAACTGTCGGTATTAGACAGTCAACATGCGAGTGTTTCTTACAGGGAAAACTTGAGTAGTGTGTGTTTCACATTTGGATATACATAGATATATATCTCATGAGACAGCTGAGTTACTGAACTGCAGAAATTGATTCAGTGGCAAAGTATAATATACCCACGTGTAACTCTGGCATAGACTCCGGGCCTATCAGGTCGAGCACAGCCATAACCCCACGACACAACTCCCACCAGCTTCCACTTGCCGTTTTCTTCCACCACCATTGGTCCACCAGAGTCTCCCTGTAATATTCACATATACTGTGTGAAATATATCGAAAGGAATGTCATCTATCAAAAAAGAAGTTGAAATTGTATCTTTAAAAGATAAGAATGACGAAGGAACACACCTGGCAGGAGTCCTTGCCTCCCTCAGGAATGCCTGCGCAGATCATGTTGTCAGTGATGCTTCCTCCGTACTTGGTATTGCATTCGGTGTTTGTCATGGTGGGCACTGTTACCTCGAACAAGGTGCCCGATGTGGATCCTCCTGTTAAATGCATTGTATGAGTCAACGTTGGAAGATTTTTGTTATCATTCTCTAATATAAAACAAAACTTTAAAAGGCTTATTACGAATATGAGTACCCACCCTCCTGTTGAGCTCCCCATCCTGTGATTGTGGCATCCACACTATCATACATTTCACCAGCAGTTGGAAGGCAGACAGGGGCGATTTTGTTGTCAGATGGGAACTGGATCTCTGTCTTGAGTCTGATGAGGGCAATGTCGTTGTCCAGTGTGTTGGAATCATAGGACGGATGATTCACAATCTGTTGCAAAGGATGTTACAATTGTTTAGTTGTTTGATCTTGAAAATATAGGTCGAGAAGAAAAATGACAAAACGATTCAGTTTTTCCAATGTTCTATGAGGAAGTGAGGACATTAAACTTACTTCAGCAATCTGCATCCACTGAGAATTGGCTTCGCTTGCGGAGTACAGGTTGTGGTCTCCCACCAGCACATAATCCGAGGTGGTCATGCTGCAATAATAATAGGGAATAGAGAAGTGGATTTGAGACAATAAGAGGATTATATATATATATATATATATATATATATATATATATATATATATATTATATATATATATTATTCTTTTTTTAGTAGTAGTAGTAGTAGTAACTACTTACCCTACTGCACAGTGAGCTGCAGTGACGACCCATTGGCTGGAGATGATAGAACCGCCACAGAAGTGATAGTATCCACTGCGTCGACAAGAGAAACCATCCAGGGATATTCGTTCACCTCCGTCTCTACTCCACCAACAATGCGGTTGGCACGGTTGACTTGTCCACATCCAGCTGTGGGAATACATGATTATCTTTACAACAACAAACTCACATAACCATATTCACAAAAACAGCTTGAAAATGGTGCTGTAAACTTCGGAGATTGTCCAATCATCATCAACTTTCATCCATTAATTTGCTTAGTGTCTAATGATTTTCTAATCCATCAACACTAGACTGTTGCGTCGCTCCCAATTACAACAAATGTCTCTATGTAGTCTTTATTTGATTTTCTAGCTTTTTTTTATAGATCAACACAGATTTTATTTTTACGTACGGCAGTCAGAAGTAGGGGCAGGTGTGGGTGCAGTAGTAGGGGCAGGCGTCGGGGCATTTGTAGGAGCAGGTGTGTTCCCATCGACACAGACTCCGGTTGTTGTGTCAGAAATCCATTGCAAATATTCTGATGAAAAAGCAAGTGTTCATTAACTGATTGTAGATATAAGGAATAATGAAAAGTATATCTAAATATTTCTAGTAAGAGCACAATTTTTTTTAATGAGATAGCTTTCTTCCTGTGGTGCCAGAGGGCCTAAGAAAAACATTTATGGATCGCAAAATGTCGGTCATAGACAGTCAACATGCGAGTGTTTCTTACAGGAAAAACCTAAGTGGTACATTCTTCCTTCTAGGGAAAGCTTGAGGTGTGCATCTTTCACATTAGGATCTTTGATATACATAGATATACATCTCATGAAAGTTATTGAATTGAAGGAATTGATTCAGTGGCATAGTATAATATACCCACGTGTAACTCTGGCATAGACTCCGGGCCTATCAGGTCGAGCACAGCCATAACCCCACGACACAACTCCCACCAGCTTCCACTTGCCGTTTTCTTCCACCACCATTGGTCCACCAGAGTCTCCCTGTAATATTCACATATACTGTGTGAAATATGTCATATTGTGTGAAATATATCAAAGGGAATGTCATATATCAAAAACGACAAGTTAAAATTGTATCCTTAAAAGCAAAATGAAGAACATACCTGGCAGGAGTCCTTGCCTCCCTCAGGAATGCCTGCGCAGATCATGTTGTCAGTGATGCTTCCTCCGTACTTGGTATTGCATTCGGTGTTTGTCATGGTGGGCACTGTTACTTCGAACAAGGTGCCCGATGTGGATCCTCCTGTTAAATGCATTGTATGAGTCAAATGGAAGATTTTTTTATCATTCTAATATAAAACAAAACTTTAAAACTTTTACGAATATCAGTACCCACCCTCCTGTTGAGCTCCCCATCCTGTGATTGTGGCATCCACACTATCATACATTTCACCAGCAGTTGGAAGGCAGACAGGGGCGATTTTGTTGTCAGATGGGAACTGGATCTCTGTCTTGAGTCTGATGAGGGCAATGTCGTTGTCCAGTGTGTTGGAATCATAGGACGGATGATTCACAATCTGTTACAAAGGTTATTACAATTGTTTAGCTGTCTGATCGTGAAAATATAGGTCGAGAAAAATAAGGACAAATCGATTCAGTTTTTCCAATGTTCTATGAGGAAGTGAGGACATTAAACTTACTTCAGCAATCTGCATCCACTGAGAATTGGCTTCGCTTCCGGAGTACAGGTTGTGGTCTCCCACCAGCACATAATCCGAGGTGGTCATGCTGCAATAATAATAGGGAATAGAGAAGTGCATTTGAGACAATAAGGGAATTTTTTCTTCTTTTTTTACTTCAATAGGATCTACTTACCCTACTGCACAGTGAGCTGCAGTGACGACCCATTGGCTGGAGATGATAGAACCGCCACAGAAGTGATAGTATCCACTGCCGTCGACAAGAGAAACCATCCAGGGATATTCGTTCACCTCCGTCTCTACTCCACCAACAATGCGGTTGGCACGGTTGACTTGTCCACATCCAGCTGTGGGAATAAAGTGATTGAGGAAACTCGCAAAACCAGTTCATAGAAAATGGAGTACTGGACACTTCAAAGTTTGTCCACCCGTCATCAACTTCCTTATTGTCTGCAGGTTTTCTGTTATTTCATCAATGCTGAAGACTTTTTAATATTATGGTACCTTGAAGATTACTACAGATTTTGTTATCTTTACTTACGGCAATCAGTATTAGGATCAGAAGTTGGGGCAGGCGTGGGTGCAGTAGTAGGGGCAGGCGTCGGGGCAGTTGTAGGGGCAGTCGTCGGGGCATTTGTAGGAGCAGGTGTGTTCCATCGACACAGACTCCGGTTGTTGAGTCAGAAATCCATTGCAAATATTCTGATGGAAAATAGTCATCATTATCTCATTGTACGTACAAAAGAATGATGAAAAACGTATTAGAATATTACTGACAAGAACTCAGCTTCTAACATTCTCTTCATATATGGTATCCAGTCTAATTATAGAAAGTCTGACCAAATTTTCTGAATGCAATGCATTCATTAAACGCAAGTGCATAAGTCTATAACTGCAACCCGAAACATAATCAAAGAATCCTCAACGCAGTGGTTACATTTTAGCTGAGCCCGTCATACATGGACACTGGAGCGGCATTGAGGTTGGCATGTTTCCTTGATCAAAAATATTAAGCAATCTTCACCAAACAGACTTTTGCTTATATTATACGACATCCCCACCAGATTTTTTTTTTTTTTTTTTTTTTTATAACCGACTTTCAGCTTTTATAACGTAAGAGAAACATTGGTGGTATTGCAAGATATCAGTCATAGACAGCAAAAATGTTAAAGTATCCCTTACAGGCCAAAGCTGAGAGGTACATTTCATCTTCCAGGAGATGCATTAGTTGTATAAAAATCCCGTAAGATAGTTGTTTTTTTTACTACAGGAACTGATTCAATGGCTAACCACAAATTACTCACGTGTAACTCTGGCATAGACTCCGGGCCTATCAGGTCGAGCACAGCCATAACCCCACGACACAACTCCCACCAGCTTCCACTTGCCGTTTTCTTCCACCACCATTGGTCCACCAGAGTCTCCCTGTAATATTCACATATACTGTGTGAAATATATCGAAAGGAATGTCATATATCAAAAAAGAAGTTGAAATTGTATCTTTAAAAGGTAAGAATGACGAAGGAACACACCTGGCAGGAGTCCTTGCCTCCCTCAGGAATGCCTGCGCAGATCATGTTGTCAGTGATGCGTCCTCCGTACTTGGTATGCATTCGGTGTTTGTCATGGTGGGCACTGTTACCTCGAACAAGGTGCCCGATGTGGATCCTCCTGTTAAATGCATTGTATGAGTCAACGTTGGAAGATTTTTGTTATCATTCTCTGATATAAAACAAAACTTTAAAAGGCTTATCACGAATATGAGTACCCACCCTCCTGTTGAGCTCCCCATCCTGTGATTGTGGCATCCACACTATCATACATTTCACCAGCAGTTGGAAGGCAGACAGGGGCGATTTTGTTGTCAGATGGGAACTGGATCTCTGTCTTGAGTCTGATGAGGGCAATGTCGTTGTCCAGTGTGTTGGAATCATAGGACGGATGATTCACAATCTGTTGCAAAGGATTTACAATTGTTTTAGTTGTTTGATCTTGAAAATATAGGTCGAGAGAAAAATGACAAAACGATTCAGTTTTTCCAATGTTCTATGAGGAAGTGAGGACATAAACTTACTTCAGCAATCTGCATCCACTGAGAATTGGCTTCGCTTGCGGAGTACAGGTTGTGGTCTCCCACCAGCACATAATCCGAGGTGGTCATGCTGCAATAATAATAGGGAATAGAGAAGTGCATCTGAGACAAGAGGATATATATATATATATATATATATATATATATATATATATATATACATATATTCTTTTTTTAGTAGTAGTAGTAGTAGTAGTAGCTACTTACCCTACTGCACAGTGAGCTGCAGTGACGACCCATTGGCTGGAGATGATAGAACCGCCACAGAAGTGATAGTATCCACTGCCGTCGACAAGAGAAACCATCCAGGGATATTCGTTCACCTCCGTCTCTACTCCACCAACAATGCGGTTGGCACGGTTGACTTGTCCGCATCCAGCTGTGGGAATACATATCATCTTTACAACAACAAACTCACAAAACCATATTCACAAAAGACAGCTTGAAAATGGTGATGTAAACTTCGGAGATTGTCCAATCATCATCAACTTTCATCCATTAATTTGCTTAGTGTCTAATGATTCTCTAATCCATCAACACTAGACTGTTGCGTCGCTCCAATTACAACAAATGTCTCTATGTAGTCTTTATTTGATTTTCTAGCTTTTTTTATAGATCAACACAGATTTTATTTTTACGTACGGCAGTCAGAAGTAGGGCAGGTGTGGGTGCAGTAGTAGGGGCAGGCGTCGGGCATTTGTAGGAGCAGGTGTGTTCCCATCGACACAGACTCCGGTTGTTGTGTCAGAAATCCATTGCAGATATTCTGATGAAAAAGCAAGTGTTCATTAACTGATTGTAGATATAAGGAATAATGAAAAGTTTATCTAAATATTTCTAGTAAGAGCACAATTTTTTTAATGAGATAGCTTTCTTCCTGTGGTGCCAGAGGGCCTAAGAAAAACATTTATGGATCGCAAAATGTCGGTCATAGACAGTCAACATGCGAGTGTTTCTTACAGGAAAAACCTAAGTGGTACATTCTTCCTTCTAGGGAAAGCTTGAGGTGTGCATCTTTCACATTAGGATCTTTGATATACATAGATATACATCTCATGAAAGTTATTGAATTGAAGGAATTGATTCAGTGGCATAGTATAATATACCCACGTGTAACTCTGGCATAGACTCCGGGCCTATCAGGTCGAGCACAGCCATAACCCCACGACACAACTCCCACCAGCTTCCACTTGCCGTTTTCTTCCACCACCATTGGTCCACCAGAGTCTCCCTGTAATATTCACATATACTGTGTGAAATATGTCATATTGTGTGAAATATATCAAAGGGAATGTCATATATCAAGAACGACAAGTTAAAATTGTATCCTTAAAAGCAAGAATGAAGAACATACCTGGCAGGAGTCCTTGCCTCCCTCAGGAATGCCTGCGCAGATCATGTTGTCAGTGATGCTTCCTCCGTACTTGGTATTGCATTCGGTGTTTGTCATGGTGGGCACTGTTACTTCGAACAAGGTGCCCGATGTGGATCCTCCTGTTAAATGTATTGTATGAGCCAATGCAGACATTTTCTAAAATATAAAACAAATGTTTTTAAAACTTTACTATTATCAGTACCCACCCTCCTGTTGAGCTCCCCATCCTGTGATTGTGGCATCCACACTATCATACATTTCACCAGCAGTTGGAAGGCAGACAGGAGCGATTTTGTTGTCAGATGGGAACTGGATCTCTGTCTTGAGTCTGATGAGGGCAATGTCGTTGTCCAGTGTGTTGGAATCATAGGACGGATGATTCACAATCTGTTACAAAGGTTATTACAATTGTTTAGCTGTCTGATCGTGAAAATATAGGTCGAGAAAAATAAGGACAAATCGATTCAGTTTTTCCAATGTTCTATGAGGAAGCGAGGACATTAAACTTACTTCAGCAATCTGCATCCACTGAGAATTGGCTTCGCTTGCGGAGTACAGGTTGTGGTCTCCCACCAGCACATAATCCGAGGTGGTCATGCTGCAATAATAATAGGGAATAGAGAAGTGCATTTGAGACAATAAGGGAATTTTTTTCTTCTTTTTTTACTTCAATAGGATCTACTTACCCAACTGCACAGTGAGCTGCAGTGACGACCCATTGGCTGGAGATGATAGAACCGCCACAGAAGTGATAGTATCCACGACAAGAGAAAAATCCAGGGATATTCGTTCACCTCCGTCTCTACTCCACCAACAATGCGGTTGGCACGGTTGACTTGTCCACATCCAGCTGTGGGAATAAAGTGATTGAGGAAACTCGCAAAACCAGTTCATAGAAAATGGAGTACTGGACACTTCAAAGTTTGTCCACCCGTCATCAACTTCCTTATTGTCTGCAGGTTTTCTGTTATTTCATCAATGCTGAAGACTCTTTTTAATATTATGGTACCTTGAAGATTACTACAGATTTTGTTATCTTTACTTACGGCAATCAGTATTAGGATCAGAAGTTGGGCAGGCGTGGGTGCAGTAGTAGGGGCAGGCGTCGGGGCAGTGTAGGGGCAGTCGTCGGGCATTTGTAGGAGCAGGTGTGTTCCCATCGACAGACTCCGGTTGTTGAGTCAGAAATCCATTGCAAATATTCTGATGGAAAATAGTCATCATTATCTCATTGTACGTACAAAGAATGATGAAAAACGTATTAGAATATTACTGACAAGAACTCAGCTTCTAACATTCTCTTCATATATGGTATCCAGTCTAATTATAAAGTCTGACCAAATTTTCTGAATGCAATGCATTCATTATAAACGCAAGTGCATAAGTCTATAACTGCAACCCGAAACATAATCAAAGAATCCTCAACGCAGTGGTTACATTTTAGCTGAGCCCGTCATACATGGACACTGGAGCGGCATTGAGGTTGGCATGTTTCCTTGATCAAAAATATTAAGCAATCTTCACCAAACAGACTTTTGCTTATATTATACGACATCCCCACCAGATTTTTTTTTTTTTTTTTTTTTTATAACCGACTTTCAGCTTCTTATAACGTAAGAGAAACATTGGTGGTATTGCAAGATATCAGTCATAGACAGCAAAAATGTTAAAGTATCCCTTACAGGCCAAAGCTGAGAGGTACATTTCATCTTCCAGGAGATGCATTAGTTGTATAAAAATCCGTAAGATAGTTGTTTTTTTTACTACAGGAACTGATTCAATGGCTAACCACAAATTACTCACGTGTAACTCTGGCATAGACTCCGGGCCTATCAGGTCGAGCACAGCCATAACCCCACGACACAACTCCCACCAGCTTCCACTTGCCGTTTTCTTCCACCACCATTGGTCCACCAGAGTCTCCCTGTAATATTCACATATACTGTGTGAAATATATCGAAAGGAATGTCATATATCAAAAAAGAAGTTGAAATTGTATCTTTAAAAGGTAAGAATGACGAAGGAACACACCTGGCAGGAGTCCTTGCCTCCCTCAGGAATGCCTGCGCAGATCATGTTGTCAGTGATGCGTCCTCCGTACTTGGTATTGCATTCGTGTTTGTCATGGTGGGCACTGTTACCTCGAACAAGGTGCCCGATGTGGATCCTCCTGTTAAATGCATTGTATGAGTCAACGTTGGAAGATTTTTGTTATCATTCTCTGATATAAAACAAAACTTTAAAAGGCTTATCACGAATATGAGTACCCACCCTCCTGTTGAGCTCCCCATCCTGTGATTGTGGCATCCACACTATCATACATTTCACCAGCAGTTGGAAGGCAGACAGGGGCGATTTTGTTGTCAGATGGGAACTGGATCTCTGTCTTGAGTCTGATGAGGGCAATGTCGTTGTCCAGTGTGTTGGAATCATAGGACGGATGATTCACAATCTGTTGCAAGGATATTACAATTGTTTAGTTGTTTGATCTTGAAAATATAGGTCGAGAAGAATAATGATAAAACGATTCAGTTTTTCCAATGTTCTATGAGGAAGTGAAGACATAAAACTTACTTCAGCAATCTCCATCCACTGAGAATTGGCTTCGCTTGCGGAGTACAGGTTGTGGTCTCCCACCAGCACATAATCCGAGGTGGTCATGCTGCAATAATAGTAGGGAATAGAGAAGTGCATCTGAGACAATAAGAGGATTTTTTTATATATATATATATATATATATATATATATATATATATATATATATATATATATATATACATATATTCTTTTTATTAGTAGTAGTAGTAGTAGTAGCTACTTACCCTACTGCACAATGAGCTGCAGTGACGACCCATTGGCTGGAGATGATAGAACCGCCACAGAAGTGATAGTATCCACTGCCGTCGACAAGAGAAACCATCCAGGGATATTCGTTCACCTCTCTCCACCAACAATGCGGTTGGCACGGTTGACTTGTCCACATCCAGCTACGGGAAAGACGTTTGTGTGTTATACTGTGGGTCGTGAAGCCATGGATTTCCAACTCTTTACATGGACGTTTTCATTTTTATTATTCAACTCTGGATATTCCGTTATCAGAGCAAAGAGGAAGGGTAAATACATACTGCATTCTGAAGTTGGCTCAGGGTCTACAGTTGTTGTTTGGGAGTCTGGCACTGTACAGGATATTACAAAGAGAAGACATTATGCGGAATTGGGAAATGTGCAAATGAAGCTTATTGCAAGACTTCCAATGTTCCTCAGTTACTGGAAATATATTGAATTTTACCTGAAGCTCTGACAGAGCAGGAAAATCCTGTATTAGATTTCTTCTTGTTTGTTTTGAACAAGACAGTAACTTTACTAGATTTATCAGACACAGTCAGAGAACCCTTGACACCGCAGTACCTGCAAAAGACACGGAGAAATATCGGTTAATCTGCAAAATACCTCCTCCTTCTGTAGAATATGCAGTTAACAGAAACGTAATGGTATTTACTTTTTCTTAAAACCAGAGGAATCTGTGACGCGGAAGAAATCTTTTTTGCAGTTTTTCGAGTGTTGCAGCTGGAAATCATCACACTCGATGCTCAACTTGGAGTCGGTAGAAGTCTGAGAAAATAAGGAATTAGACGGAGTCAAGCAGCTGAAGAAATCAAAACTGCATCACAGCATATGACAATCAAAATCAAGGTTGATTGGCGCTGCAGTGAATTCTCACTTCAGGAAAGAACTTACGCGGAATTTCCAGGTGCACTTCTTACCCCCGGGGTAGTTATTGGGGTAGTTCTTTGACTGGAATGTCTTGGAAGAACCTGGAGCGATGTAGTAAGATCCGCACCCCACTGCAGCTGGAACGAGTTAATATATATATATATATATATATATATATATATATATATATATATATATATAATATGTGTGTGTGTGTGTGTGTGTGTGTGTGTGTGTGTGTGTGTGTGTGTGTGCTGTATATGTACACATGTATATGAACTAGTTACTTTTGAGATGATGAACAAGTGTAAAGAAAATAAATACCTCTGTTTTCAAAATGTGGTGCCATGCGAGGGCCAACACCTCCACGGGTAGGTCTGAGCCTGACCAGGGTTCAGTGTCACTGACGCGGACCAACACCTCCACTGGGGTAGGTTGAGCTGACCAGGGTTCAGTGTCACAACACCTCCACTGGGTAAGTCTGTGCCTGACCTGGGTTCAGTGTCACTTGACGTGGACCAACACCCACTGGGGTAAGTCTGTGCCTGACCTGGGTTCAGTGTCACTGACGTGGACCAACACCTCCACTGGGGTAAGTCTGTGCCTGACCTGGGTTCAGGGTCACTTGACGAAATCCAATAAACCTGAAAAATTATACATTGCTTCTAAGGAAGTGGCAAAGTAAATTTACACATTAAACTATAATATATTTAATATTTACCTTTTACTAACTGATCGATATACAGCATAAAACCCGTAACAACAATGTTGAAAATCCGCAGGTGCAGCTAGTGTGTTGAATCTTTTTAACTGCCAGGGGCACGGTGCCCAGCTTCACACCCACCTGCTCTTCGGTGCTATCCTGGCACTGGCATCGCTCCAGGCGCACTGCAAAGCAAGTGGAATCATGAAGACGCATCAGTATTATATAATCATATGATTGACATATACGTGGCTGTGCAATCAATAGGCAAGAGTGGAAGCATGGGAAGGCAGGTCAAAGGTCGGCACTCACCAGCAGCATCGCCGTCACCAACCCGACGGAGAAGACCCTCATGGCGAGAGCTCTTCGAGGAGGACCTGGACGAGTATTGGAGTCGAGGAGCAGGAGGAGGACCACTTGGCGGGCCGGATCACTCAAGCACTCTGGCTGAAACCCTCTGCAGGTGTGGCTATATACCCCTGCGTCTCCATGTCCCTTCCTGTCGCACAGGTGTGGTCATTCACAACCTGGAATCACTTTGACCTTTTCGCGACCAAAGGCGAGGCCGATGTGCCACAGGTGTCCGAGTCTTCATCAATAGAGCGAAGGATTCTGTGAATTCCTATGATTTCATACAAAGCTTTGCAGACACAGCGTAAATGTTTACTTTTTATTAAAGATCCCTTTTTACTCACTCTTTACGACAGGTTAAAAGAACATTTATAATAAGTAATATATATATTATATATATATATATATATATATATATATATATATATATATATATATATATATATATATATATATATATATATATATATATATAGAGAGAGAGAGAGAGAGATAAACGTATGCATGTATATATATATATATATATATATATATATATATATATATATATATATATATATATATATATATATATATATATCCATACACATATGTATATATGTATATGTATATACATATATACATATACATACATACACACACAGACACATACACATACACACACACACACACACACACACACACACACACACACACACACACACACACACATATA